CTGAGAAGGACACAAGGCTATAAAATTGTTGCCACGCACCGATTTCCAGCAAGGACATTGGAGACAAACCATATTTGATGGAAAAACTATATTTTTACATCAATACCTATGCTTATTGAAGTTCACTTAAAAACAAAACAATCTCAAATGCTCAGTTCTACTGTCTATAAACACCACTATAGAAAGACAACAGAAATCCCAGAAATGAAACTGTCTCTTCCATACTCAAAAGTAGTGTAAAAGTACTTTTTAGGTCACATGATTATTTTTTGCTCTTGCTCTCAGATTCTGACCACTAACCCAGCCTCAAGTCTTGTATATTTGTTTATCCTACCTCTGACTCAAGTGGTTTTTATTATTATTATTATTCAGGTATAATTAACACAGTGTTCTATTAGTTTCAGGTGTACAATATAATGATTCAACAATTCTATACACTTCTCAGTGCTCATCAAGATAAGGGTACTCTTAATCCCCATCACCTATTTCACCCATCCCCCCACCCTGCCCTATGGCAACCACCAGTTTTTTCTCTATTTTTAAGAGTCTGGTTTTGTTTTGTTTTGTTTTTTCTTTCTGTTTGTTCATTTGTTTTGTTTCTTAAATTCCACATATGAGTGAAATCATATGGTATCTGTCTTTTTCTGACTGACTTATTGCACTTAGCATTATACCTTCTAGGCCCATCCACGTTGTTGCAAATGGCAAGATTTTATTCTTTTTTATGGTTGAGTAATATTCAGCTATACATATAAATATAGATATCCCCTATCTCTCTCTATATAGATATAGATACAGATGTAGATATATTCCCTATCTTCTCTATCCATTTAGCTATTGATGGCCATATTTGGGCTGCTTCTATATTTTGGCTATTGTAAATAATGCTGCGATAAACATAGGGGTGAATATATATTTTCAAATTAGTGTTTCTATTTTCTTCAGGTAAATATCCAATAGTGAAATTACTGGATCATATAGTAATTCTATTTTTAATTTTTTGAGGAACCTCCATACTGTCTTCTATATTCTTGAGATACAACTGACAGTAGAAAGACCACCACATAATACTTCAAATACCAGTCCCCCCTCCCCAAATTCTATAAAGTCTTCTTGAACACCATATACCTACTACAATTCCAGTACCAATGGTCAAACTACTTCATCTGGAATTGGGTTAAAGTTAATGGAACATTCCAGATTAATCCATATCAACAGCAGTTAACCTAGATCATTTGAGGATGAATTTTAATTTTAGAATAACTAAACTTGGGGAACTGTTTCTTATGAAACATAAGGGGAATCTAATAACAAAGACTTGTTTGATTTCTTAAGAAATGGCATGATATATAGGAGAGAACATAGGATTTAGCTAGACTTGCATTTGAACTCCAGATTTCTCCCAGTTATATGATCTTAGTCAAGTAACTTACATTCCAGATGTTCATTTTCTTCCCATTAAAATGCCATAGTAACAATGTTTATATTACAGAATGCTAGGTCCAGGTGGTACCTCTACCAATGCAAGTGTGGGAACCAAAGAATACCTTGCAAAGGCTTTTTATTTTTCCCTGCTTTATTCACAGATGCATTCTTTAAAAAAAAAAAAAAAGATTTTATTTATTTATTTGACAGAGAGAGTGAGAGAAAGAGAGCAAAAGCAGGGGGAGTGACAGAGGGAGAGGGAGAAGCAGACTCCCCACTGAGCAAGGAGCCTGATGCAGGACTCGATCTGAGGACCCCAGGATCATGACCTGAACCAAAAGCAGACACTTAACTGACTGAGCCACCCAGACACCCCTCAAAGATGCATTCTGATAGCAGTTCCCAAAGAAAGGCTCAGAAATATTTTAGGCAATGCCGCCAATAATGAGTGAATGGATTACACCCAAAGGTACAACTTTGTAGTTAGGGCTCATTTGGATGTATAAGCTCTGGTTTACTTGCTAAAAATACCAGGGGGACCACTTAACTCTGGGGTACAAGATTAACAACAGCAGCAAGAACAGCTACCATATGGATGCTTACATCACTAGGATGAATGCCTTATCTACATTAATGATGTAGATTAATTCACTTATTCCTCCCTAGCACCAATGAGATACATGATCTCTATTTGTATTTTATAGCCAAGAAGGTGAAATCATAGAGATTAAGAAAATTTCCCAAGGTCAAAACCTGAATATCAGAGCTGGGATTTTTTTTTTTTCCCAGACTAGTAAATGTTAGTGGAATTACTAAAAGAAAAATATCTATGTTACAATTCTTCTTTCTCCATTGTGAGGTTTCCCAACAGCAGGTAAGGATCTATTACAGCTCAGAGAGACACAGGAGAAAATGTAGCATGGCATGCAAAGACGGTGTGCCTCCATGGAGTCAGTCTGCAGAGGGACACAAGGAAGACTGAAACTCATATTCTGAATATTCAAGCTGACATCCATATGTCATGCAGCATAATTCTCAGGGGCCTACTGTATACATTGCTCTGACAATTTTGCTGAATTGTGGTTAATAATTGGAAATTAGTCTTCCCAAGTATGAAAATATCCTCTGTCTCCAAAGGGTCAGAAGTGTCACAGATAGGATGCTAACATTCAAATTAAATTCCATTTAGCGTATCCCATTTGAATGACTCTCACTGAGGTCAAGCTTTCCAAGGCATGAGTTCAGGGATGAAGAGTAGCTAGGGAGCAGCCATAGTCCTCTAGCTGGCTTGCAGTTACCAGTTATAGTCCTAGTAGAAAGTGGGGAACCAAAGAGGGCTTCCAGCACAAAGCAAGCTTCAGAAACAGGCTAGATGAAGTTGTTGGGCAGGGGCAGCTGTTCTGCACCCATGTGGATTTACTTCTGTTATTCAACACCAGAAAAGCCCAAATGCAACTCTGTCACTGCCCTGCCATGTTTATAGGCTGATGCCAGAGCCCTTAGCTTTGTCTTTTAACCTGGAATGGGTTATGGAAATATCTATATTGAACTTCAACTTTTGACTGTGATGTAGGGGAGGAATTTACCCAGCTGGGATCAGAATGGGATCACCAATGGGATCACCCATGCCCAGACTTGGGACATTTGTTGACTCTCCTAAAAGTAACAACATTCAGGAACATGGTGCAACTATTTAATTTACTATGGGCGAGGCACTGAAGCAAGTCTAAAGTTCCCGCCCTCATGGCACTTGCATTCTGTTGGGGAAAGACAGGTGGTAATAAAGCAATTAGAAAACATGATCACTCCATATGGTGACTAATACCAAGACCATGAAATCTGTGAGGTGTCACAGTGACAGGATATAGGTGAGATCAGGTGGTCTCAGAAAGCATTTCTGAGAAGCTGCTATTTTTGCTGAGATGTGAGTTACCTAGAGGTGCCAGCCATGCTGAGATCTGGAAGAAATCCTTACAGTTGCTGTTGTCTCTGTTAGGAATGAGTCTGGATTAATTAAGATACAGAAAGAAGACAGTGATGTGACTGCAAAATGGTGAATGAGGGGAGAATAGTAAGAAATTAAGGCACAATGGTAGCAGGCCATATCATGTAGAGTGGAGAAAGCCAAGGAAGGAAGATGGCATGATATTTTAAGGGAGAGAGGAAGCCACTGGAGTGTTTTAAGTGCAGGAGTGACAATATCGGATTTGGGTTTTTACAGTCAAATTTTGGTTACTGTGAGGAGGAGAGGTTTTAGGGCAAGCGAGGGTGAAAACAGAGAGACAATAGACTGTTTTAGTGTCCAGGCTGCAGTAGACACGGGCAGAGGTGCTTTGGGTTAGAATGTATTCTGGAGGGGCCTCTAGGTGGCTCAGTCAGTTAAGTGTCTGACTCCTGGTTTGGGTTCAGGTCATGATTTCAGGACTGTGGGATCAAGCCCCGCTTTGGGCTCCATGCTCAGCAGGGAGCCTGCTGGAGATTCACTCTCCTTTTCCACCTCCCTCTACCCCATCCCCCTGCTTGCTCTCTCGCTCTCTCCCTCTCTCAAATAACTAAATAAATAAATCTAAATGAATGAATGAATGAATGTGTTCTGGAGGTAAAGACTCACAAGGACTTGTGGATGGACTGGACCTGGCGGTAAGGGAAAAATCAAGCTCTCCTGGGATTTTTAGTTAAGGAACCGTGTGTTTTATTGAGTTTGGAAAAACCAGTCTGAAGAAGAGCTGAAAAACTCCCAGCAGTAAAGATTCAGGAAGAGTTGGGCGCCTGGGTGGCTCAGTTGGTTAAGCGACTGCCTTCGGCTCAGGTCATGATCCTGGAGTCCCTGGATTGAGTCCCGCATCGGGCTCCCTGCTCAGCAGGGAGTCTGCTTCTCCCTCTGACCCTCCCCCCTCTCATGTGCTCTCTCTCATTCCCTCTCTCTCAAATAAATAAATAAAATCTTTAAAAAAAAAAAAAGATTCAGGAAGAGCTCCCCCTTGGCCATCCTGAATCTGAAATCCCTACTAGCAATTCTAGGGGAGATGGCGGCTGAGTATGTACATGGACACACATGTCTCCATCCTAGAGGTCAGTGAGGTCAGAGCTGGAGGTAAATATTTGGAAATTTGTGAATCACTGCTTAATAGGTGAGATTTAAAGTTGTTCTTTGTGGTTGTTGTTAGAGGGAGAAAAAAAAATGATGAAAAGAGAGTTCACATGGAAAATCATGGTTTGAGCAATTGTGTCTGGAGGTAGCTGTCCATGGCGGCAGGCAGCTCTCCGAGCTGTCAGTGCCCCACCCAACCTCTCTGGTACTTTCCCAGAGCTGCTAACTGAAAATGAGAAGGTTTCCTTGGACACGCTGCTCTGATAGAACAGTGAGCTTCCCTGTGAAAATGTCTCCTCCTGTCCTCCTTCCAGGGATGCAGCCTTCCCATCTGGCCCAGGGACTGGAGCCATCAGGCCCACAGGCCAGCAAATACACCTCCCATCTGAGGGTCATGACTTCCTCCCTTACCTCCATCTTCACCCCCATCCCCCAACAGGTAAATGTCTGACTGAAATTGACAATGAGATGCCAAGGGACTCACCATTCAAAGTCCCAGTCGGCACAGACACAGGGTTCTGAGACCACTGTCCCTGAAGAGTCTCGGCCCAGGGCACACTGAGCTCCTGGCTTGCGTTTCTTGAATATTTTCCTTTCTCCCATGACGCAGGGCTCCCCCTTAGAAAGAAAGTCCATAGTGAGAGAGGCAGAAAAACACAAAGGAGATGAAATAAACCAGCTTCTCGATAAGAAACATTAGCCTTTTCATTCTCTTTTAGTCACTCTGTGTAGCAATCTCTTTCCCAGTAACCATTCAGGAGTCTCAAGGGAAAAAGGGCCAGTGTGTTACTACCATACCAGAGGAACATCATAGAGCTGTCCCAACACTACCCTTCACCCCACCTAGCCAATGATGTCTGCTTCATCTTGTTTCTTTCCTACCTTCAGAGACAATGCACCTTCAAAGAGAGCTCACAGATCTCCAAATTGCCCAAATGACCTCGGCATAAATTCTAGTGGAAAAGAACCCACTTCTGGCACAGTTTTAACACCATCTTCAGAGTAAAATTGAAGCTGGCCCCAAAAGTTCCCTCTCTCTGATAAACAACCATGCCCAAGTCCTTATTCCCAAGCAAGGGCAAAAAGAGGAGAAGCTGATACAAATTACATGAACCCAATGGTTCTGAGAATGCAGAAGTCTGCTTACGTTGCACAGCAACAAATATCTGCCATTTCTACTAGAGCCACTCACCCCCATCCCTCACCCTTTCTCTATGGTCCTGTTTTCAGTGCTCTTGGGGCTCTTACTGCAGGCTGGCCTGACAAATGTTCTCACCCTCTCCATTGGAAGGTGAGATGATGAAACCGTTGAAAGGTCTCTTAACTGTCTGGGCTTATTTCTCCACAGATAGAGCTAAAGTCCCAGCTTATCATTGTCACCTCACCCCTAGGCTACTTGGTGACCTCAATGGGTAGATTGGAATCCCAGGGTGCAAAAGGGTCCTGAAATACCATTTGTCCACGCTGGACCTGGATGTGTGGACTCCAACCCTTCCCCCCAAATCTACTATTATCTTTGAATGGCTCGTTACCTTCCACCTCCAAATAGGAAGGCCCAGAGATGACCAAACAGGGCTTGTGGAAGCTCCACCTCCTAGAAGCCAGTGTGCCCCTACCCTATGGTGTACCTGATTGAGCAGGTGCCAGGTCTGATAGTCCTCCCTGGTGCAGCGCCGGCTGAAGATAGATTTGTAGTCCACTTTCACCAACTGCCATTCAGAACGGAGGCTGAAGTGGCCAAAAACTCTAAGTGTTTAGGGGAGGCATGGGAGAGACAAGCAGAGAGAGGCCCCTAGTCAGTCACTAATGCACAAAGACTGGAGGGAGAGAGACTGAATTGCAGCCTGGACTCAACAGATTCTTCCAAAATGACGTCTTTGAAGGTCACCAAGGACAAAGTGCACCATTTTATAACTCCAGCCAATTGACATGGTATTCACAGTGGGTTTAAAACTAACCACTTTTTCAGTTGCAAAAGTAATATATGTGCTTTATAGGAAGCACTGAAAACACAGAAAGATATGAGGGAAAAAATTCACCCAGTAGTTCAAAATATTCCACCCAGATAGAACTGTTGTGCATATTTTGACTTGTAGCCTTCTTGTTTCACCTTAATGCAAGCACAGTTATTTTATCTACTGATATCTACTAACAGGGACTCAGTTTTCTCACCTGTAAAGTAAATTGTATGTATGTATGTTGGAGGGGGGTGGATTAGCTAATCTAAAGTATGGCTGCCAGTTCCAATATTCTGACTAAATCTCAGTGTGTTTTAGTTGAAATCTTCATTGCTTAATTCACATGAATATCATTCCTTCCCCCTTCCCTGAAAAATCATAGTAGCCTCATAAAAAGAACTCATATTTATGTATAGTAAAGAACCATACCATCTGTGTGACTTAGATAATCAATACCACCCTTTTCAAAGCCCAGAAGTTGATGGCCCTGTAAATATGAATGATCAATCGTTTCTAGAAAAATAGAAAAAATGACTGATCATCCATACTCCACTCGGGTATGGCATGTCTTGTAATTACAACGCAAGACATCTATCATAGTGCTATAAATGGGAGACCAATCACTCTGGGAACCTAAACCAATGGAAGTCTTTCAAGGCACTGGATGTCTTCCATGTGAGCAAAACTTAATCATGCTCCCAGCCCTGGATTCTCCTCTCCCCACAGCCAGCTCTTCCTATGGTGACACCAGGAGACTAACTCTCCTCAAGGGACAGTCCCTGCTGCTATCTGAAGGATGAGTTCAGATGCTTTGGGAGGGGTGAGAGCGGACTAAAACTGTGAAATAGACACAGAAATAGGATCATTTTGTGGATCGTACAACTTATATTACATCTTGGGAAATGCCCTTTAATGTTCTATCAGTTTAAAAGTTAAATACAATTTTTTAGAGTCTTGTCTAAAAGAAGATTAAACAGACTTTGAGGTGAATAAGTCATGGGGATAAAAGGCACAGGCCAGGGAATACAGTCAATGATACCATAATCGCACTGTATGGTGACAGATGGTAGCTACACTTGTCATGAGCGTAGCATACCGTATGGAGATGCTGAATCACTATGTTATACACCTGAAACTCATGCAAACTGTGTGCCAACTATACTAAAAGAACAAAACCAAAAACGTATGGTCTTTATAAGAATCTTAGCTCAGCACTGAGTAGCAGAAGCCATGGGGCTAGAATATTTTGGGTTGTGTGGCCAATAGCGTGTGAAGCAGAGTGAATGTAAGCACCTCCCCCCGGGTTCTCTCTGTTCTTCTTCATTCATGCTGTATTCAGTGGTCTCCAAACCCAATTCATCCATGCCAGTTTACCACTGAACTACTTCCACCTTTTAGTCTCAATTCATTTCATGGAGAAGTCAGGAGTCAGTTGCTTTTAAATCAACAAAGCAGTTATATCTTAAAATTTTCTACTTGTTTGAAGAGTTATATTGAAAGATCGTTGGAAGAAACAAACAAACAAAAACCAGTGGGAGGAGACTTGGATGAATGCCTTCTGTCTTTATCCAGCCCACCTAAATCCTCCCACATTCAAATGTTATCTCCTCTAGTCAGTCTTCCTTGATTGGAGTACTCTGAGTAGAAGAATTTTAGTGATGCCAAACCAAACACTTCCACTTACTCCAAATAGCTTACAGTTAAATTTCATGGATCACAAAACACATCATGTCCGATTAATCCCATTCCCTTCTATGAAAGGGTTACAAGGCAGATAGAAGGAAATATGAGGCACATGATTTACCTGGATATTAGCAAAGCATCTGACAGTGTTTGCCATAATAGTCTTGAAGAAAAGATGAAAAAATATGAGCCAGGTGCCAGTAAAATTATGTGACTGAACAGTACCTAATTAAAGCATTAAAATCAACCAGAAGGGAGGGTGTGAGTAGTCAGCTACAAGGTTCTGCTGTCTGCTCTTTCCTGTTCATCATTTTTATTAATGACTTGAAGACATGAAAATAATGGTCATCATTGGAAATCACATTTTCTGATGACACAAAGCTGGAAGAAACCGTCAATATGCTTGATGGCAGAATCAGGACCCAAAAAGGTCTTTCCACACTGAAGGGAGAGGCTGAGTCTACTAACATGTGGAGTCACAGAGAGAGATGTCAGGTCCTCCTGCTCACAATCACGTAAGTATTGAATAAATGAAATAATGCTTGATGCAATTCAGGTTAAATAATAATAGTAGTAGTGATAATTAATAATAATAATAATAATAATGTGGCAGCTTAAGACTTGTCATACACAATGTGATTAATATAAGTGAATGCTCCAGAGAAACCAAAAATATTTAAGATGATCTTAGAATGTATTAATTACTGCATTTTGTTTATTACCTAGAATGAAAGAGGCAATATCTGGGTCAATTTTACATTACTTAGATCACAAAGAAAAATTGTAGTTAGTTTGGGATGTCACCATTCAATCCCCTGAAATCTTAAATAAAAATATGCATTTGTTGGCCCATGTGTATTTATTATGGAGAAATTACATTTATTTTATCAGATTTGCAAAGGAGTTCACAGTTCCCTAAGCTTAAGGACCACTGAAAAACAGAGAACTAAGATGATGTACTGGATGGAATAGTGGCTCCCCCAAGGGACATGAATGTGTTCTATTCCCTGTAACCTGTGAATGTGACCTTACCTGGACCTTTGCAGACATAAGTAAGTTAAAGATCTTGAGATGAAATCATCCTGGATTATCAAGTTGGGCCCTAAGGACAGCATCCTTATAAGAGATACAAGAAGAGAGACACACAGAGAGGAGGAGGCCATGCGAAGAGGAAGGGAAGACTGGAGTTCGGTGGCCACAAGCCAAGGAACACTTGGAGCCCCCATAAGATGGACGTCTTCCCTTCCCACTAGAGGCAGTGCTGCCCTGCTGCCATCTTGATCTTGGACTCTGGCCTCCAGAACTGTTAGAAAATTAATTTCTAATTGTTTAGCCACCTAATTTGTGGTGATTTGTTAAGTCTATCTAGCCATGAAGTGGTGTGAAAACACTGCCTGGTTTTTGATATGTTAATATTTTTATATGTTAATATTTTTACTTGGGAGAGTGCTAGTCTGCTCTCCCATGTGATCACTTTCACATGCCATTTAAGCATCTAGTGTTAGGATTATGAGCTTTGCTCATTTTCACATTGGACCCCAACTAAGATCAGGGGAGCCCAACTAAAACCCCTTGGCAACTTTCGGACATTAATGTATTCCCCATCTCTCCATCCATTATCAGTTCTGGGAAGAAAAATGTTCATCATGGGCCCCCTTCTGTGGGGCATAAGCAACTGATACATGGTCTCTCTTTTGCATGTATCTGGGTTCTCTAATTCCGCTCAATACTGCATTCATTCACAGCTCTTCTGATTAGAGCCCATGGAAGCCAAGGAAATGACAGAAACGCAGCAAACTTAGCAGGAGATAAAATAAGGACTAATTTAAATTCAAGAATTTCTCATCCCTTTTCATAACTACTCTTAGAACAGATGTTAACATTCACAATAGGATTTGTGAAAGTGAGAATCCAGCAGAGAAACCAGGGTGACCATCATGAGAAACCATGCCTGTCACTTTGGGGTGATAAGCACCCATGAGATGGATTAGGGATAGAGAAAGCCAGACTACTTCTAATTAATAATAAAAGAATTTCCCCCAAAATATTTTCTCATCCATTGGAAATGTTTCTCTAAAGTTACAAAGCTCATCACCAATAAAGTAGGCAGAGCATACTCCTCCCACTTGTGGTATATTTTTGGGGAACAACGTGGTTTATACATCAATTTAATATGAAACCCAAGAGAGGTAGGGTGGAGGAACCAAAGACATGGAATATCTCTAAAAGGATAATGCAATTCACAGATCAGGTGCTACTTCTTTCAGAAAGTTTTCTGTGACTGTTCTAGCAACATGAGCTCTTTCCTCAGAAGCTCAAATGGTCCTATTATGTCTCTTCCAGAGGTTCTCCACTGTCTGCATCAGAATCACCTAGAGGGCTTGTTAAGTATAGATTGTCTCATACCCAGACTTGTATGTTTTGAGTGACTGATTATTTGCATTTCTAACAACTCCCTAGGTGATGTCGATGCTGGTCCCAGGACCATCCTTTTAAGAAACACACCTCTAGACCACTTATCTAGAATTTAATTCTCCTATCTTTGGACAAATTTGTGTCAACCAATTAGAAAGCTCCTTAAGGCTGGGAATGCTCCTTGTACTTTTTTGTATGCCATATGGCCTTTCAATGGTAGATGATTGACAAAGAATAGGTAATTAATTATTGAGGAACAAGGAATTTTAGAGTGTGGTTTCTTTCTCAAGTCTTTGGCAAAAAAAGGTAATTTCTAGCATGCCCAAATCCACTATCATCCAGAGTTCCACTTTCTTGCAATTACCAGGAAAACTATTTTGAGCCTCTTCTATGAAAATGCATTCTAGCCCCTCTTCTTTACTTCAAGTGTATTTTCACCAACATAACAAAACCTTATCATGTGAGATAATGTATGGGAAATCTTGAAAATTCCAATGGACAACAAATGTTCATTACCATCACCACCATATTGCTGGAACCCCCATAGACTCATACCCAAGGGCCTCCTCGTCAAGAGCTTTTGATAGATTTGGCTCAATATCCCTTTTTCAAGGTACATACTAACTCAAATGCAGCATGTGTGTGTGTATGTGTGTGTGTGTGTGTGTGTGAATTTGATACAGAGCCTTG